CATTATAGTACATTTATGTTGAGAAATTCAGTTCTTTTTCTCCTAATTAAAATCTGTGATTACTGACTACTAGAAACATAAAGAAAAAGATTTCAATGTTCACTCTCTGAGGAAAATATTATTTTGTGGAAAAATAAATGCTGAGAAATAAATTTTCCCATGTAATTATTAACACAGAATGTGATTAATAACAAAGCATTTGCATTCTTGGTGATGTGCATCCCCCAATTATAAAAATCTTAGATGATTTTATAACTAAAATCAGTTTAGGGGAATTCAGAGCATGACCTCACTCATTCTTCAAATAATTTTCTTTCATATAAATTATTAAAGCAAAAGGTCTTTATCCTTGGAGTGGTGAATGCCACACCTGGTAGTTCTCAGGGCTTACTCCTGGTTTTGCATGCAGGGATAACCATGGTGGTGTTTGGAGGACCATATGCATGCCAGGAATCAGACCCCAGTCAGTGTCATGCAAGACAAGGGCCCTGCATACTGTACTATTGCTCTGGTCCTAAAGCCAAAGCTTTTAAATATACTTGATCTGCTCATTGGTGGATGTGGGAGAACAGATTTTTCTGCTGTCTTTTAGATTCTCTACATGTTTTTCAAATTTTTTCTTGTCTATTGATAAAAATATAAGACTCTGAACTATGACCCAAAATATATATTTGAAGAAATTGCTGAAAAACCTATTCTCAGAGTAAATTCACTTATTTATTTCCTCCTAAGTCTTGTAAAGAATATTTTCTATTCCTTTGCTATTACTATCCCATGTTTTGCTTCTTTCAGTGCCTGTTTAAATCTTATGCATATATATATATATATATAGTATATATATTTAGTGAATCTCTTTCAATGCTTGTATGCTAGAAACTGTTAAGTATTTCTGAAGTCACTATCTACAGTCTCCTGATATTTAAAAAATTACACGATTTACCAAGATCCTTTTGCTGTTGTAAATTTTTTGTTTTGAATTTATGTCCAGAATTTTTAGGTAAAGAAAATTTTGAGTCAGGTGCTTAAGTGATGTCAAACAACTCCAAATAAATCTGTTAGAAAACCTTTAAAGATAAGATTAAACTGGATTTATTAAAGTATACAATAAATAAACAATGATATTTCTAGTCAAATAAATTGAGAATAATATAGTCATAAAGCATAAGGGGAACATGTTCAGTTTTACAACTTACCACAGCAATGTCAAAAGTTCCAAAATGTAATATTTATTTTATGCAAATTCAGCAATATTTTCTAATTTTGATTTGATTATTCTGAGGACTCTGCATTTTCTCTAAGTAAAACAATTTTTTATTCTTTTATTCTTGCATATCAAGTTATCCTCTCAGTTTAATTTCTATAGATAAAGATTGCCTCAAGTGTGGAACTCCTTAGAAATCTAGTTAAAAAAAGATATTTGTTCCTGCACATAATCTCTGCTTAACCAAGTAATGAAATTCTGAGAATATGCCCCTATTATTTTAAGAGTCAATTGACACTTTCTTCTGCACTTCACTTTAGAGCCTATAAGGAAGAACATTCAATGGACTCTTCTTTTATTCAAAATTAAAATTTTATATGAAAACAATAGCTCCTTTTATAAGAAAACATTAGGTATTAAGATACATAATGAGAAGCAAACACAGTTTCTCAAGAAAAGAGTTTGTTATATAAATGTTGATAGTCAAACTTTCAAATGACTACTCCCATTTCCATTCCTCTAAGTTAAAACATGTTCAACTTTGTATCCTGGGATATTCCATGAGTTTGAGTTGCCCACTGTGGGTTTGGCTTTCTTTCTTTCTTCTTTTTTTTTTTCTTTGAGGGAACATACTCACTGGTGCTCATGGTTTACTCCTGGCTCTGTGCTAGGCATCACTCCTGGCATGGTTGAGAGAAGCTGGGAATAAAATCCAAGTTGGCCAAGTGCAAGGCAAGTGCCCTACTGGATATACTATCTCTCTGGCTCTTTTGTATCTTACTTGGTTCCTTTTTTTCTCTTGCTCACTTCCTCAGTTTCAATTGTGAATGTTTCTTTCTTGGTATTCCCTGTGATCACCTTCCACAGCGGGTAGGGCGTTCGCCTTACAAGCGGCCAACATGGCCGACCCGAGTTCGATTCCTCTGCCCCTCTCGGAGAGCCCGGCAAGCTACCAAGAGTATTCGATATGCCAGACACAGTAACAACAAAGTCTCCAATGGAGACGTTACTGGGCCCGCTCGAGCAAATCGATGATCAACGGGAGGGCCTTTACCTTTACCTTTTACCACCTTCCAAAGTCAACAAACTAAATCCCTGACAAGAATCTGCTTATCATGTAATCCCAGATGCTGTCTAATACATTCATTCAACATTGTCCATTCTTATTGCTTTCACTCACATCCACTGAGCTCCTAAATGCCTCAGGCCTCAGAAGGCTGATACTGAACAACCTAGAAAGTCCTTAATTCTCCACGTTCTTTCGCTGCAGACACTGCTTCATCCTGTACTCAGTTTAAATCTCTGACTTTCACTGAAGAACCTGAACAAATAGATTAGATCATGGCATTCAGATGTAATTTGTCTTGGTAGAAATAACAGCAGGAAAGTCAAAAGACCTTGTGCTGGATTTATTCCTCACTACCTTCTGAACTCAATTAAGTAATGGTGCAGGTTCACATTTTACATCAAGATAAAGAGAATAACGCCTAACAGCAAAAAAAAAAAAATCAAAAAGAATCAGAGGGTATAATAGTTTCTGTTTAGAACAAAAAAAAATAGGATTAATAGGATAACATGTTTAAATCTCTTGTGTTGAAGGTTGCCTTCAATAAGAGTATAGCTAGATGTTTCAAAGTCAGATGTTGAAAGATAGAGATGAATTTATTTCGGGATACTGAGCATTGGAGTGGGGAAAGGAATACAAATGTCTTTAAAAAAAGTTTCGATGCAACTTTTCTAGAGAAAAGGAACATAGGAAAACAGTCAAATTAAGTACTTGCATATTTATGATTTCAAAATTGTAATCTTACATATAAATTTCATGGAAATTTTCACAAAGGTCCACAAGATAATGCATAAAGAATGCATATCACAATCTTCTGTGGTAGAGGGAAGATTTTAAAGACAGGTCAAGAGAGTAAGTGAAATGCGGTGTGTAGAGGGAGAAAATAATCCAACATGCTTTCACAGAGCATAACAGAATTTAAAACCATGAGAGAGTAAAATTAACAATGTAAAGAGCAATTTCAGTTACATTTTCTGAACTTATATGCAGGCAAAAGTAATGTACATCTTCAAAACAAACATTTTCAAGGAAAATATGCTAAACATTTAAGAATGTGTTTCTAATGAATAAATATACAAGAAGAGTCTTATCTCAATTTATGACAACTCTCTGTCAGGACCTGGGAGAGTGGATAACTCAAGCTTTCAAAACCAAGTTCTAACATTAATGGATGAATGAATGAATGAATGAATGAATACATGACCAACTGATTAAATAAGGACTTCCTCCCAGAATCAGATTCCTAGATTTTGAATTCTGTCCCTACTATTTACCAGCTTGATTTTCTTTCTTGGAACTGTTCTCACACACATAAAATATTGATAATATTACTTACCTCACAGGCCCATTGTGAAGGTTAAATTAAATGCTTGTGAAATATTTATATAGTGCTGGCACTTGATAAAAGCACGGTGAATAATTGAGATTATTAGTAATACTCTAAAGTGATTCTTCTTATAACTAAACAAGTAAAGAGGAAGTAGATTTTTTTTGGAGGAAGAGAAATTAGCATAGCGCTTTTGAACTGAAACTCCTCTGACTCTCATCATTGATGAAAGTTTAGATTTCCAGGTTTCAACTGATGAAAACAGAGCATTGCAATATTCTTGGTGAATGAACTCTGGTTACTTTCTGTAGCTATCTTTCTCTGCTCTGCCCAGAGCAGGGTAATGGGGTGATGATGTACTGATCTAGGGCAGTGTTCAACTTTTATAAACTATTCTGCAAACCAGTCCATGGACCAGCAGTTAGAATCAAGTGGTCGACCAGTAGCTTTCAACCTTTCTTCACCTGTGGACTGGAGCCAGGAACAGTGTTTGAAGACCACTGGTAAAAGGTATTTCTGGCTCACAAAGTTCTCTCTAGAAGGAAAGTGGTTCATAGTCATGTGCAAGGAAAAAACAAAACAAAACTAAACTAAACACTAAAGTAGCTTTCCTTAAGTGCTATCACACTGCTGTCCAGATTTGCTGGGTTTTAATTGTGGGTTCTGATTTTACATAGCCTACACTTTCCAGCAGGACAAAGGGCTTTTAGAAGGGAACTACTTGGTGAAGGTAAAGGATACAGGAGGTGGCCACTGGTACAGAAAAGGAGCAGAGCCAGAAGGGTGGGAACTGGGTGTGTTGGAGACTCGCTGATATTTTTTGGGGGTGGGGGGGAGTCATACCCGGCTTGGTTCATGCACTCAGGAATTACTTCTGGCGATGCTCAGGGGACCATATTGGATGCTGGGAATTGAACCCAGGTCGTCCGTGTGCAAGGCAAACACCCTACTCACTGAGCTATCACTTCAGTCTGAGTCTCGGCTGATTGGATTATCAATCTCAATGAGTTTGCTTCATGAGCTTAGTTGCACACAAGATTATGAGCTCTGAAGTAACTATGAGCTGACTTTGAATTAGCTTTCACAAAAATCATGGAAAATGAGTCAGAGACAGTGATATCACACATATTCTAGCAAGACAAAGATCCACATCACCAAGCTGCCCGAGTAAGGGGTATATCCTGGCAACTCTGAACACCAACTATACAGAACAGCAGTATGTGTTGTGTGAAATATTACCTGTCATACGTTCAAGATCTCTCTTCAATGAAATCCTAAAAATTAGCCTTCCCTGAAGGCAGGTGAGGACTCATTTTTTTAAACACATTCTTTTGTTTTTAATTGGCATGCAAAAAAAATATCAAGGCAAACAGGAACTAAAACCTGAGTCAGTAAATAATATATGCATCAAATAAAAGTGAGTATTGAAAAATAATCATGACAGTTCTTCTATTTGTCCATGAATCTTCTTTATTTGCAGCTAAATATAGTACGTTATGTTAGTATTGCTGTCAGCTTAATAGAAGGCATTAAAGGCTCTAACAGTGGTGCAAAAACTGTAGGTGAATTTCGCCTATGCTGGGTATTAGTAGACTACTGAGATGTTATATGCCTGCAGAAAACTTTTTTTTATATTTAGTTCCACTGCTGCACTGCAGTTGTAAAGGGAACTCAAATACTGCAGACAATAAGAAAGGTTAAATCTAGCCACTGATTAGCACCAGCATTACAAATATCTTCAGTACAGCCTGAGTTATCAGCTTTTGCTCCAACTTCATTTCTGAAAAAATGAGAGAAAAGAGTATACATATTGGTGAAGATATATAAAATTTAATATATGTACATCCAAAATTTATAAATTAATATTTGGTCATAGGATTTCATACAAAAAACAAACCTTTTTAGTAGACTCATTTTGTTTTTACTTTTGCTGTCATAGTGGTTTTCTTATTGTGTAATGTACTCCATGATAAAGACAGATAAATGTGATTTTAGGTACAGTGATCATGTGTGCTGAGCAGAGCAGCACTGACCTCTGAAGGGGGATCTGTTGGCCTTGAGCACCTGATGCAGCATTAATGGACAGTGCTGCTGCATCCCTACTCACAATCCCTTTCTATCTTGGAGCTATTGCCCTTCCCTCAGCTGGCTATATCATTTCCTGAAATGTAACTGCCAGAAGGATGAAGTCAAGTGAACTTATCCAACTGGTATTGGATCAAGTCCCAGCCTTTATGAAAGGAAATACTGAAAAAAAATTAAAAACCACAGCTAATGAAACTTTTGCTCCTTTTTATTGATTTGATATATATGTCACGATCACGACCATCCTGTTGTTCGTCGATTGCCTTGAGCAGGCCCCAGTGACGTCTCCTTCGTCCTGGCCCTGAGATTTTTTTAAAAGTGCCATATTCAAGGCTCTTTCAGGGTTAGGAGAATGAGACCCATCATTGTTACCGGTATTTGGCATATTGGGTACGCCACGGGGAGTTTGCCAGACTCTGCCATGTGGGCAGGTTACATTTGGTAGCCTGCCAGTTTGTCCAAAGTAGGAATGAGATAATAAGATGTCACACGGCCGCATTTGCTGGGAGCTGGGTTTTATAGTCTCTGAGTCTTGGCCGTTGATGGGATTACACGGTGTCGGGGGCCAGTTGGTGGGTGTGACCCCTGCCTACTGATATATCAGGAGAATTGTTCTAATAAGTAATTATCCTTATAATCTATGTTCTTTTCATTTATAGGTTTAGACTGTTTGGAATTAATAAGATAAATTTAACTCCATAAAAACAAATAGTAGTAGATAACAGAAGTCAAAAAAGTATCCAAGAAAATATCAAAGATGAGGAAATGTAATGAAAGATAGAATGCGACATATCATCACTGAAAGGAGACGGCTATAACTTTGACCAAGTGACAACTCATCGGTGCTACATTTCCAAGTGTCGGGTAGAGAATAAAGAAGATCCCGTGCTCTTTGAGGCCACTTTCCCTTCTCTGCTCTCGTTCAAGGTAAAGACAGACTCATAAGGTAACATCTGTGGTTCAGTTCTGACCTTGATGTGGGCTTTGAACAAGAGAAATGAAGCACCAGAAAACTCCAACACCTGCAGAGCGAATGACTAAGAAGGGCTGTGTGTGAGGCATGAGTGTGATTTCTATCATTAGGAGAAACAGCTGAACTGTTGAGCCCAAGAGGGAGCTGGGGGGAAATGAGGTTCCGAGCCCCATTCCCACCTCATTTGAGTCTTAGACTGAGAGCATTAGCAGTCAGGAAATAAAGGAGTGGTAGCTTCCTGAATCCAGGTGCCTCTGACGCTTTGAAAAGAAAGCTTTCCATTCCTTTTCTTTCTAATAGTAAATGTCACCATTTATTTCATTTTCCTGAAGTACCAACATTCGGTAGTTAATCATACAAGCACTTTAAAGAAATCACCTTCAATCATGTAACATTTATTAAGTGCTGTGAATTTTATATGCTAAATCACTTTATATATCTGAATGCCGATTTTCACCATAATCCTTTATGTTCATTTTACAGAGAATAAAGTTGAGTACCCAAAACAATTGTGCCCACAGTCTTACAGTATTTGAAGTTAAACCCTAGTAGCTTTGATGTTTAGGCAAGCTCCCTGTGGCATATTCAATATGCCAAAAGCAGTAACAATAATGAATGTCATTCACCTGACCCTGAAAGAGCTTCCAACGCGGCACAGTTGGGAAGGACGAGTAAGGAGAGGCTGCTAAAATCTCATTATTGTTTTCATTATTGTTTTGTATATTAGTTTATCTTAGCCATACTAAAGCATACATTGTTTCTGACTTGTAAATGGTAATTTGTCATCAGAAAAGTTTGAGCAAAATATATGTAGGGATCTGTATTTTATTTTGTTCATTTATGGAGAAAGGTTGGGCTACACTGGCAATGCCTAGAGCTATTTCTAGCTCTGTACTCAGGGATCACTCCAGGTGGCACATGGTGGAACATACGTGGTGGCAAGGATCATACTGAGTTTGGAGAGAAGTAAGACAAGCACCCTAACCCATGTACTATCTCTCAGATCAGTAAGAATATATTTATGTATTTTTTTTAATTTATTTTGGTTTGGGGCACATCAATCAGTGCTAAGGGCTAATTGCTGGTTCTGTGCTCAGGGATCATTCCTGGCAGGGCATGAAGGACTCTAATGGGGTGACCGGAATCAAACCTAGTATTCCATATAAGGCAAGTGCTCTAACCACTGTACTGTGGATAGAGCCCCTGTAAAGAGATATGTACAGACAGAATTCTAACATGAAATCAACTATAGGACTGAATGGTCTATAAAGTTTCTTTCGAACATATGACTTTTTTATACTTATAAGAACAATTATGTAAGATTGAAGAGAAGTGGGTCATTCAGCTTCTGACAACATCTAGGCAAACACTTCGTCTCAGCTCTTCCTGAACCCATTGACAAAAGTGTGGAATAAAATTTGGGCATGGAGAAATTTTGCAGCAATCCATTTAGTCTTGTAGAAGGAGGAAATCAGCTTTTTCCTTTTGTGGCTTTGAGGCAAAGCAGCTTACCCGCAGACCATCTCCTCTCTAGTGTTCGGTAGAGCCTGCCCAAGACAGACCAACTAATTACAGCTTCTCAAATCAGGTCAAGTGCCCATCTGAACCACATATCTCAGAATGAATTGTTCTCTCTTCAAACTTTGTATTTCTTCCCCTTAGACAGCCTCCTGTTTCAAGTAAAGATCTCCAAATCCAAATGCATTTTTGTTGCCTTGTTCGGTCAGGATGTTGGGAATGACCCTCTTGTACCTTTATTAAAAATGCAAATACTTTGATTCCTACCTATTACTCCAAATGTAAAATCTTCCTCTATTGAGAATGGCCCACCTATAAAAATGGTATATAAAATGTGCTTTCTTCCCCTAGGGGGAATAGTGGAGGAATATCACTGTCATCCCATTGTTCATCAATTTGCTCAAGCAGGCACCGGTAACATCTCCATTCGTCCCAGCCCTGAGATTTTAGCGGCCTGTCCTTACTCATCCTTCCCAATGGTGCTGTCGTGGAAGCTCTTTCAGGTCAGGGGAATGACACCCGTTATTGTTACTGCTTTTGGCATATTGAATATGCCACAGGGAGCTTGCCTATAGCTAAGCAAAACACACTTTTTTTTCCCCTTTATTTTATTTTTTTTTTTACAGTTGTAGATTTACAATTTTTTGTGCTTTGGTTTCAATTATACAATGATCAGATACCCATCCCTCCACCAGTGCCCGTTTTCCACCACCATGGATAATATCCCTCCCACCCCCATCCCCCCATCCCCCCTGTCTCTGTGGCAGGGCAATCCCCTGTGTTCTCTCTCTCCTTTTGGGTGTTGTGGTCTGCAAAAGAGGCATTGAGTGGCAAACATGTTCAGTCCATAGTCTACTTTCGACATGCATCTCCCCTCCTGGGAGGATCCTCCCAACACCCTTTACTTGGTGCTCCCTTCTCTATCTGAACTGCCCTTTCCCCTAGAATGCCCGGCTGGCCTCTAAGCTATGGAGTAATCCTCCTGGTGCTGATCTCAGCTATTCTTGGGTATTAATATCTTACTTTGTTACTTTATATCCCCCAGATGAATGCAATCTTTCTATGTCTATCCCTCTCCTTCTGACTCATTTCGCTTAGCATGATACTTTCCATATTGTACCACTTGTATGTAAATTTCATGACTTCATCTTTTCTAACAGCTACATAGTACTCCATTATGTAGATGTACCAAAGTTTCTTTAACCAGTCATCTGTTCTTGGGCATTCAGGTTTCTTCCAGTTTCTGGCTATTGTAAAGAGTGCTGCAATGAACAAACAAGTGCAGATGTCACTTCGACTATACATTTTTGCCTCTCTGGGATATATTCCCAGGAGTGGTATTGCTGGGTCAAATGGGAGCTCAATTTCTAATTTTTTGAGAATCGTCCATACTGGCAAAACACACTTTTAATTGCTTCATTCAATTAACCCTAACTTGAACCACCGAAGATGAATTTTTTTCTTTTTACCTGTGAAGTAATGAATTTAACTTTAGCTTGGAAAGTAATGCTGGGTAATTCAATTCAGCAACTGGTTTGAAATTGTGTTTTATGCTATGATAAGAATCTAGATTTAAGACATTTTGTGATTTTTTTGTTTGCTTATTTTTGAGGAGGGGGCAATACCATGGTTGATAAAGAACTAAATATTTGAGATGAATAAAGGCTGACATTTAATAAAAGTGAAGATCAGTATTAAACAGAGTTATCATCTGCCTAGTAGTTAAGCCACATTACTTCATTGCATTGCCAACTTAAAAACATATTATTTTAGATATAAGAAAATATAAACAATAAAACACTTAAGACATAGAAAAAAGCATAATTTTAAGGCATTAAATTTGATTTTTTGTTTTTGTGTGAGTTAATGTTAAACATTTGCTTAAGCAGGTGCCAGTAACGTCTCCATTGTAAGACTTGTTATTGTTTTTGGCATATCAAATGGAGACGTTACTGGGCCCGCTCGAGCAAATTGATGAATAAGGGGTGGACAGTATTACAGTGCTACTGTGCTAATATTAAATAAGTGATGTAAGGCTAGGGCCAGAATGATAGTAGGATGCTTGCCTTGCATGTGGCTGACCTGGGTTGGGTTTCTGGCACCCCATGTGGTCAGAAGTGGTCCCTGAATTTAGAGACAGGAATAATCCCTGAGGGCCCCAAAACTAAAATAATAAGTGATATAGTGTTGTCAGTGTTTAATTC